AAGGCGGTTTTCCACTAGGCGAAATTTTTCGACCGAATCGAAATTTCTCTTTGTTTCAGAGCTCTCGAGCAGAACTAATTGTAAAAAGACAAAGAGAAATTTCGTTTCGGTCGAAAAATTCCGCCTCGTGGAATCCGGCCTTAAGGCCTTAAGGCCTTAAGGCGGTTTTCCACTAGGCGAAATTTTTCGAACGAATCGAAATTTCTCTTTGTTTCATGAGCTCTCAAGCAGAACTAATTGTAAAAAGACAAAGAGGAATTTCGTTTCGGTCGAAAAATTCCGCCACGTGGCCATGAATCAGGCCTTTAGGATTGTTGTTAACGGTAGAGTATTTGTAGCAAAAATAAAATATTAATTAATATGGAAACAACACCTGGGCGGCCTGTGTAGAATCCCGCGCGAGTCCTGAGGCGAGCGGCGAGACAATTTGAAATTTTCGAAAAAATTAATTTGTGTAGAAATTATTAAAAGTTTCGAGATAATTTTGGAAGTTCTTTTGTGGAAAATTTCTCCTGAATGGCGAGTTTAAAAGTGTTTAACAGATTATATCCTAAACGAAACTTGTGCAATGTTTTTCGTAGGAATATTTCCACTTTAAAGCGTCCATTTCTGAGTTTCAACAGTCATACTCCATCTCTTCAAAACAAGACTGGCTTGCTTTCCTCATGTCTCTCCTTCTCAAGAGTTTGTGGTTGTGGCATGCATAATCATATATCTGAAGGTATATTAAAATATTCGAAGTGACTATATGACCGGCAGCCGGTCACGGTTTATAAAATACTAAATGGCCGGCAGTCTAGTGACTATTGTTAAAGTTTAATTTTTATAAGATAAACCTATCCCCAACCCCAAACCCTTTTCTAACCCTAACCCCTAACCCCTAACCCTAACCTTTTGAGAGTTAGAAAAGTCCGGAAAAAAAGTTTAAAAAATTTTAAGAAAAAACAATGCTAAGTCAGACAAAACACATCGCGACCCCGACTGCGCTTAACTTTCCGCACGCAGCGCCCTTGCCGTATGAGCTAACGGCAAGCTCGGTAAAAGTAAACGCAAACAAAAGTTTTTATATTCAACTATAGTCACTAGACTGCCGGCCATTTAGTATTTGATAAAGCGTGACCGGCTGCCGGTCATATAGTCACTTCGTAAAATATTTCTTAAAGTTTAAATACATTTAATATTACAGTTCAATCATCAATCATAAACACGTGGTAATAATGCACCTATCAATTTACACCCGACCCCCCCCCCCACCCCGGGACATAGTGGGGGATTTGATTTGACATTGGTTCTAAAGTGTATAAACCCCCCACCCTACCCGGGCATGTTTGCCACAAAAAAAAAAACAACGCTGGAGGGGCAGGGCAGTCTGACAAAACTACCATTTTTTTCAACTGAAAGTTCTGACATAAAAGTGCACACTTCATGCAAATATAAATATCAATTACAATTCTACTATTTGTAAATAACTATTCTACTATTTCTATACTATTTGTACTACGTAATACTATTTCTACTATTCGTAAATAACTATTCATGTAACTACGTTTATACTGCTGTAATTTCCTTCCTACTATTGTAGTTTTCTTCCAACTACTGTAGTTTTCTTGTCACACACCCCCTGTGGAAATCAGCTTCGGTTGACAGGGTTAGCGTGGGTAAATAAAGTTTTTCTATCTTCTATCTACCCTAGCACTTTTTGGAATGGTTTGTCGCCTTTGCTTACTAACCCAATGTTTCTGTTCTAGGAGATCAACAGCTATTGGCATTTTTAAAGGAAGAATTAAATTATGAAAATGAAACGATGAAAAATCTTGAAAAACCAAAACTGGAAATTTTTAATCAACCGGTACAAATTAATTAACCCTGTAATGTGCAATATACCACTATGTGCCATGCTTTAGTATTTACTCTGTCTAACTCCAGATGATTTTACTTGCAAGGGAGGAGTCTTGGACGTTAATGGGTTAAAACATTAAAAAAGGTTTGTCACAGAAGTTAACCTTTCAAGGGCCAGCATTCCACCCAAATCATCTGGTGTTAGACCAACGGTTTTCAACTTGGGGGACATGTCCCCGAGAGGGGACATATTTTGGCAAATTCCTAGGGGACACAAACTGGTCTAGGACTGAGAAAACAATAGTTGAATACAATAGTTTGTACTATAAACATGTTTGCTTGACTTTCTATCTATTATTTAAAATTTAAATCATTTACTATTTTACTAACTATTTCGAAATTCATGTTTTTGATAGACTTCAGTGGGCAATTTCTGTTCAGGGGACGTGGTAATTCAATCATGTGAAATCGGGGACACATGAGAAAACCAGTTGAAAACCGTTGTGTTAGACAGAGTAAAGTAGCCAAATATGGCACAATGCAACTGAATGGGTTAATGTAGTTTTGTCTTGACAGGATGATTTAAAAAACATGAAATTTCAAATGATGAGGTTGATTAATGGAGAGAGGTATGCTTCAAGATATTTGCTACTATAATTTATAGTAGAACTTTAACTATACTTGTGCTGGAAATCTGCAGCTATACTGAAATAGAAATGTAGCAAGTGTTAATTTTTTGAATTAGGGTTGTTGTTTCATTTGATGTTGATCAAAGTATAAATCACGAAGCATTTGAAGATGAGGATGGCGGCGATGAAGGAAAGGTGATTATGACAAGTTATGTTTTACACTCACAAGAATCACATTTTGTTGCAAGTCTGCCAACATGTTCCCAACAAGTTGTGTTTTACACACACAAGAATCAAGTTGTGTTGACACTGCTTGTCCCAAGTTGTCAACAAGTTGGTTGTTCTAACAAGTCCAGTACAGTCATGATATAACAATATTGTTATACAACCTTGTGTCGTCAACCTTATGATCGGCATTCCCCAATACCAACTTCAGCGTCTTCAACGAGTTCTCAATGCCGCTGCTAGAGTGACGTGTCTTATACCAAGATGTGCTCATATTACCCCTGTCCTGATGCACCTTCACTGGCTGCCTGTCAAGTTTCGCGTTGATTTTAAAATTGCACTTCTGGTATATAAAGCCCTCCACGGGATGGCGCCAGGCTACATTATGGAACTGTTGTTAGAAAAACCGAACTGCTGTTACCAACTGAGATCTGATGATCAGGGACTACTTTTTATCCCAAAAACTAGAGCCAAGACTCTTGGTGATTGAGCATTTGTGCATGCAGCTCCGTCAATTTGGAACATGCTACCTTCTGGTATTAGAAATAGTAAAACAATTGACTGTTTTAAATCTCAATTAAAGACTTTCCTTTTTAAGAAAGCTTTCGATTCTAACTTTTAGATTTATAGACACCTATACCTTAATTCTTAATATTTTAGCTACTTGTATATAGTATAACCTCATTGTTGTAAAGCGCTTTGGAATATTTTATATAATTTAAGCGCTGTATAAATTTAAATATATTATTATTATTATTATTATGTATATATCATGATTGTTGCAGATTTGTTAGAACAACTTTGCAACATGTCTGATAGCATCAAGCTTGTTACAATTTGTTAATAGCTTGTTCCAAACTTGTTACAACTAGGAACAAGCAGTACAAAGACAACTTGTTGACAGATTGTGAGCAGATTTTGTAACAACTTGTGTAATCGGTTGCGTGATCGTCAGAGCAAGCACCTAGCACTGCTGATTTTGTGGTTTGATTCTGGCTATGGACTTGTGTGAAAACAGTCTGTATTGCTCTGCCGAAAGTCGTGGGTTTTCTCCGGGTGCTCTGGTGTCCTTCCACAGGGAAAGTTGACATGGTGGGTTAGGATAAACACAGTTAAGAAAGTAATATCACAATTGTTGTAAAGATAAAATAGTCTAGGCTAAATCACTGAACTATATAACATATAGTTTTATAGTTCAGTGATTACATATGTATATATGTATATATAGTTCACTGGGCTAAATATAATTAGGTAAGCGTAATACTGGATGTAAAGTGCAATGCTAATCTCAATTGTAAAAGTTAATCGTAATTTTCTGTGTGTAGATTGCTTTCAGCTGCTGTGTGTAATTGAATGTTTCTGTCATTTTTAGATCACATCCTATCCTTCCTTTTCTATTCAAATCATCAAAGATTCAGTAAGTAATAATAATTATTGTTCTTGCTTCCATTGGTCTCTATATTTGTCTTCTTACAATGACCAACCAAAACCATTTTTTCAGTAATAACAAAAATTGAGTGTTTTAAAATCATATTTTGATTAAGATGGTAAAATTTAATCTAAAGTCTGAGATAATTCAATACTTTGTCCAGGGCCGTCCTCAGGAAATTCTTCAGGGGGGGTGTAATTCAATTCAACCGACTGGTTCAAAAAAATTTTTCCGGAACAAAATTTTTTCGGCGACCTCCCCCCCCCGGAACATTCAAAAATTTTTCGCACATAGCAAATTTTCAACATTTTTTAACATTTTTCCAAAATTTTTACATTTTTCCTCAAAATTTTCCTAAAATTACCACCACGTTCTTGCCCTTTGCGCCAAAAATATTTAACCCAAGTAGCAGTTCTACCGACTGAATAGCAGTCCTACCGACTGAATAGCAGTCCTGCCGACTAAATACAATTACTGGGGGGGTGTCACACCCCCCCACACCCCCCCCGTAGCTCCGGGCCTGACTTTATCTACCCGACGGTTGACCACAAAGAAGTAGCAGACCATAGAAGAAGTATAGATCAAATGACCGCACCTTGCAATATGCAACAAGTAAGATTTGAAGCTTTTCTTTCCTCCAGGGTGAAACACTGCACTTCAACTGTGAATACAATATTGATGAGGATGAAGACAGCCCTGATGAGGAAGATGATGGATTATTTACAATCACTGACGTCAGTTTATTGCCACACCCTGATGCTGATCACACGGCCATATATCATTGCGAGACTGAGAATATGGATTATGTAAGTTCATATAAATTATATACCTCTGTGAACAAACATAGTCTAGTTTTGACCTCGCCATATATCATTGCGAGACTGAGAATATGGATTATGTAAGTTCATATAAATTATATACCTCTGTGAACAAACATAGTCTAGTTCTGATCTCGCCATATATTATTGCGAGACTGAGAATATGGATTATGTCAGAACTATTTAAAACACGATCAGGAGTGCTTTATCAGACATAAAACACGAGAGCGCAGTTTGAGGGTTTCTACCTGAAAAAGCACAGACTGAGAGTGTTATAGATGGCCGGCTTAAAAGACGACCCATCTGAGGAGTTCATTGGCGATGTAATTTTAAAACTAAACCGAGAAAATGAAAGCTAAGGTTTATGTAAATTTACATGATTTTTATCCCATACAAAACCACCGACACTGTAGTGATTTCCTTTCTCTTTCACGCTAATGAAAGTGAACGCTAATGAATGCGAACTAGCCTGCGAACAGGCTCTCAAGCTGAATTGAGAGCTTGCATCGATGACTAATGAATTTGAATATCTGCCCCGTAGCGTTCGTTTTTCCAAATATGGAATGTCTATCTTTATATGGTGTTGTTTACAACTTTCGTGCAAACTAAATTTAGACCGTGCAAACTAAATTTAGACCGTACAGTTTATACTGTTTTTCGAAATATAAGATATTCAAGCAAAAGTTCAAATGTTTTAAACACTGTTTTCTCAAAACAGAACATTTCGTGCTTTGAGATAAGACGGCCAAGACCAATTTGATCAGTTAATGTGTTTTTTATGCATAATGCTTCAGCAGTTGACATATATAGAGCTCAGCGGAAACATATAAATTGTAGCATCTGACCAATGAGAATTTCGCGTCACGATTTGAGACGCAGATATTCAAATTCATTAGTCATCGATGCAGGCTCTCAATTCAGCTTGAGAGCCTGTTCGCAGGCTAAATGCGAACGCTAATGAAAGTGAACGCTAATGAAAGTGAACGCTAATGAAAGTGAACGCTAATGAAAGTGAACGCTAATGAAAGTGAACGCTAATGAAAGTGAACGCTAATGAATGCGAACGCTAATGAATGCGAACGCTAATGAATGCGAACGCTAATGAAAGTGAACGCTAATAGTTAACTTCTGAAATACAAGGAACTTGATTATGGAAAATGTTGTTTTAGAATCTGTATGAACTCTTGAAAGGATTGCTGACAGAACGCGGCATCAATACTGAATTCCTCACGGATTTATTGAAGAAAAGTACGATACTTGAACATCAACATTATGTCCAGTTTCTTGAAGGACTGCAAGATTTTCTCACACAAAAATGAAAGGTACTCGGGTTATTTATTCTCCAAGTGATTAATGAAGATACAATGTTGTTTCGCTGACATCAGAGAGGTTCAGATTTGAATTCCACCACCACTCACTGGCATCTAATTGGTTAATCAGATATCAGATATGCATCTAATTGGTTAATCAGATATCAGATAGGCATGTAATTTGTTAATCAGATATCTCAAACTCATCTGATTGGTTCATCACATATCAAACGCATCCAGTTATGGTAAGAGTAATGGCAGTCAAATCTGAACCTCTCTATTTAAAGCGCCAGTGTCAGAATGTTGGAAGAATGTCGGGATTACGTCATCTATCAAGTTAAATGAGTGTGAACAAAGAGCTTTATCACAATTTGAAACGACGAACTTTTATTATTAATAAAAACATCAACTATTTGACAACTTTAAATAAAACCAAAATATTTTAAGGCACCCTTCATCAGGAGATATTGAAAGCTGCGCTGTGTTTGATATTGTCGTGGTGTGTGTTTATATCTTGTCTTTTATGCTCGACTATATACATTGTTTAAATAATATAAATTATTAAATATTTTATTAAATATTTACCTAACACTAGGTTAAATACCTTAACCCTTGCGTTTGGTTAAGGAAGCATCTTTTAAAGATCTTAATGTCTCACAGTTGGTCGTGATAATTTTACAGGTTGCATCGACCTTCGTTGTATTTCAGGCGTCTTTTGTTGTTCCACGTTTTTGCTCGGGTTTTCCTAAACAATATAGGATATAGTTGGAGAGTTTATCTTCACAATAATTTTATATTACATAATATGGCTTAAATAATATTCTCTATTTTAACAAGATTGTTGACCAATAATAGTGGTGGTCATACAGTATGTACCTTGAAAACATTGTTCAACAATTGTTTGCTGTGCGCCTGAGCTAATGGTCCGTGATCTGGACCTCGACTTCCGTATTGTGTTCCAGCACTGAGATGCTGCAGTTTATCTCTGGATAACAATGATAGTCCTGGTTGTTCCTTCTGTACAGGAGGTTGAAGTGGAGCCACAATACCACGTGATTGAACATTATGTGGCGTCACAATACCACGTGACTGAGGAGCTTTCTTGTTTGAGTGGAGTAAAGGAATGGGATCTAGTTTCGCGGAAAGATTGAGACTTGGTTGTGACAAAGGTTTGATCGGAGCAAGGTTCCCTTTAGTTGGTCTCTTTGATTCCGAATTTGGCGTCTGTCTGCTGGTTTGGTTAGGCTCAGGACAGCTCGTCTGAAAGAAATACGTAATATACATCCAGTCTATCGTTTACCGGCTGATAGTTTCAGCAAATTTAAAACTAATGTTATTGCGAAAAAAGTATGCATTTTAACAACACATATGCAGTTCCAGCAGCTGTTTTACAACACATTTGTGTTGTTATGTGTTGTTAACAAAATGCATACTCTTTCGGAATAACATTAGTTTTAAACATCCAATGTAGGTCTTATTTCGGAAGTACCGGAATAAACTTCGACATTTTCAGCGAAAACATTTCGTTGTAGTCAGGACGGATTAACTTTTTCTCATTACAAGGAAGTGAGAAACGTTAAATGCCTTTGCCGTGGACACAATTGTTAGAGTATCTAGAAAGTTTAAAAAAGTTGAAAAGTACCTTGTTAATTTCTTCATCATCTGGCACCTCCTCACTGTCGTCATCATCAGAGTCCATATTTAAACTTGAGATCTCGATATTCTCACTCTCACTTTGACTGTCATGTTGTTCACTTGGATATGCAGCCACATCTTCGTCTGCTGGACCTAGATAGATATGAACGTTTCTCTCATGACTGCTTTCTAACGTCGCCCGTTCACGATCGTCTTGCGGAGCGAACGTGTTTGATCATACGCTCTACATCTCCTCGTCCAGGTCGCTCATGTGATGGGAAATCGCATTAATGTCAGTCGCTAAACGCTGGTTTGTAAGTCTTGAAGGATTTTGTAAGAAATGTTTGAGGGAACTGTCTTAGTGTTAAACAATGTAAAAACTTACCAATGCAAAATTCCTACTGTGATCACAGAAACTTTGATATTGTAAAGCAGGTTTAATTAAACACAGTGATTGCTTACACACAAGACTTACTTTCATTTGTATTTCCATCCTTGTGAACATCTGATTCTTCTTGCTTCATTTCTCTAGTCTCGTCAACTTTCTCGCTTCTCTGAAGAAATGCACTTTTATTGCTCCTGCTTGTAACGTGATTTCTGCCATCTGTGGTTGTGACAGGTTTGTCAGGTTTTATAACATGTTTAGTGTTTGTCATAACAGGTTTATTGCTTGTCATAGCAGGTTTGTGAGGTTTATCTCTGGTTGTAGCAGGATTTTGTGTAGCAGGTTTATCTTTTGTTAAAACAAGTTTTTCTGGTAGAGAAACGTTTTCAATGATTTGATCATCAAGCTCGTCGTTAATTTCAAAGCCTTTGATGTCCGTCACGTCCACAAGTTGGTCAACCATCACTTCTGTCGGAAGGTTGTGAGATTCGTTCAAAGATGTCGACGGAATCACCCAACTAGAAATACAAAATAATATTTAATAACTAGCTAGTGTTCAGCTCTTGCCTACGATGACAAATTACTAAATCAATTTGTGGAGCTGCCACTGTTTGTAGCTCAACTGCCTGAAAAATATTGAAAACACCTCGACTGCCCTCAGAAAGTTAGGTTGGTGAGAAACACTCTGAGACAAACATTGTTCTAGATAAGGACAACAATCACCTTTCGTATCTTTTCCTATCTTTATTCTTCTTTTCCACATCATTTTCTGATCTGTCTAAAGGCGCTTTCGTCTCCTTTTTATCCTTCATTTGTTCAAACGCAGCAAACACCAACAAACAGTAATGGTAATGACCACTCTCTGCTTCCTGTAAAGCTGTTCTTTCATTCTTGTTACAAACTGAACTGTTTGCTGTAAAAACATACCATGAACACATATTAATATGCGGGTTTCCTGAGAACTATCAACCAGTCTGGGATGTGCTGGATGATCCTGGATAGTAGTCTACCTGATAATAACCAGATACTGATGGTCGTAACTTGGAGAATATGTCAGTTTTTGTCATAAAATATTCCATTTTCTGTTCAGTATGTGGCACAAGGATGTTCAGACAATATACAGCAGAGAGCAATGAACTTATCAGAGCAATGAACTTATCACAGCAATGTACAGCAGAGAGCAATGTATTGTGTTTCACAATAACTTAACGCAAAACAGATGGTATTGTGGGTAGAAAAAGTTCCAGTACTGTCTGGTAATAGCAAATTTTAACTGAATAGTGCCGTATGTCTACATTTTGGATTTCGTGTCGATATATCTCAAGTTGACAACCATAATGTTATAAATTGTTTTGCAGTTTCTCTAACCTCCATGTTGAAGTAGAAAGTCGACCAGCTCGCCATGACCACTCAATGTAGCCAGATGTAGCGCTGTTTGATCCTGACTGTCTTGCATATTTAAGATATCTTCATCACATGATAATAAGATTTGTTTACATGCTGATACTGAACCTGGAAGATATTAAAAAAAATCTTGATATTAATACCCGTACAGTACCTTAATTATAAGACTTATAATGGCATATTGTATATAATATAACTGACTCTATAGTTCAGTTGATTAGAGAGCTGCTGTTCGCAGGGCTGCATTTTTTATTCCTGCCAGATATAGTTGCATTTTTTCCGTAGCTTACTCCTGGTTTAAGTCTAATATTGTATATAATCTTCCGCTAGGAATTTCCATGTACAAAAAAACCAATTCAACTGTTAGTTCTATATTGAGTGTTAATTGTTAGAACTGATAGTATGGGAGGTGCTGTAAACATTGGGTTTACCAGTGCTATATTGTATACATTTGAGGCTGGATGTGGGAGACAAAACGTTTGTAAGAATACACTTGTACCTTGTATTGCGGCTGTATGCAACACTGTTCTTCCTTCATCATCTTTCACTTTACAAATGTCACTTAATTCCAGTAATTCCTAACAATTTACAACGACAATGACCCAGTTAGCAGATCCATGCAATTCACATGCAATTTTAGCAAATTGCATGAGTTTATTTCACATTTTCTCTACCTTCAAACATGACAAGCTACAATTTTGATCACACGTCATGGCTGCCCAATGAAGAACAGTCCTTCCCATATTGTCTTGTTTATCCAATATTGCATCAGATCTAGGGTCGACTCTCTCAAGAGCATTTCTTAGAATGTGTAGATTGTCTGGTTTGTTGAAATAACATGCCCACATTGCTGGAGTCATTCCATCACAATCTTGAACATTGATATCTGCACCATATTGAAGAAGCATCTAGATAGTTCAGTAGTGGAATATGGAATAAAGTTTATAAAGATCAGGAGCAAATCTAGCATCATCTGCAAGAAGGGGTGAAGGTTTTGCATTGGGTGATGCATGAGGGAGCTTTACTGTCTCATCTGCAGTCTGCAACGCTACTATCTCATGGGACATTAGCATCATTTGAGACGCCAGGATCTGCTGCATGTTTGCTGGTCTGTTATGTTTCACATTACCTTTTGTTTATCAAGTGTAGATCAGTTTTTTTACCACACATGCATGCCTGGATAGTTTCTGTAGCACGTAAGTACAGTAAATTTGATTGTTAAAAGTATGGTATATTATTTGAAAGCTCACAAATCAATCAACTAAGCTAACAGTAGAAGTTCCACAAATCACTATTCGAAAAGCATAAAATGTATGGTCAAAGTTGTTCAGTTTTTGGCTGAACTTCTCTACCTCCTGCACCCTCAGGGTAGATCTGGCCTCAAGTGATGAAGACAGAAGAGTTGGGTGGGTGGTAGATGGAAGAAAGTTCCCTCAATTTTGTTACATCATAATAATAATAATAATAATAATAATTTATTTTGACTCTGTTTAGATATAGCACACAAAGTGCTAGTTTGACTGAGTAACTAATAGAATTACAAATATCTATATATTAAAATAAATATGTATATTATATTGTTAAATGACTAGATAAATAATGTGTAAGTCTAAACATCTTGAAATTCAAATTTACGAATGTTTTTCTTAAATATTACGATATTGTCTGCCGCTTTAACTTCATCTGGTAGACTGTTCCATATTTTAGGCCCCATATATCTTAACAAGTTCTTTCCATAGGTAACAGTATTAAATCTAGGTAATGTAAGCATGTCAATTCCTCGAAGATTATAGTTGGATACGCGCAGTTCAAATAGTTGATTGATATACTGTGGAGATTGATTATGTAGAGCCTTATAGATTAGTATTGCAATATCCTGCAAATGACGGTTATACAGCGTTGTTTTGTTAGCTTGGTTTAATAAAGTCTATAACTACTAGATCTGTCCTGGAAAACGGTCCTCAATGCCCTCACTAGCTGTTACCTTAACTGTTTCATTTGATTGAGATTTGGCAGCCCAGTGTAGAGCTGATCGTCCTTTCTTGTCTTTAATTGATACACTCGCCTGAAATTATGACAATAAACATCTTAGCCACAGATATTATGAGCAGAAATATCTCTTGCTTGCTACTCTATCTCACATTGACTGCATAGACAGGAAAAATACGGCCTACATTAAGGTGACCTTATACAATTATTTAAGATTCTCTTGATTGGCTGTAAACATTTGATGATAAAATGTCGTTGAAGAGCTGCAATTTCTAGGGAGTATGTCTAGTCTGTTTTAGTGTTTCACTTGCCTTGTTTTTAAGAAGTAAAGCTGTTATGTGTGTCTTTTGATGTTGACAAACAACATGTAAAGCAGTGCTTCCATCTGAATATAAACAATTATCAAATTAGAGCACCAGTGAGACCGACATATATGATCATGGTATTTGTTGCGATGTACATACCATGTGCTTGATGGTTGATGTTGAAATGTAGTGACAGAATGTACTCAACGGTTTCTTCTTGACATTCTCCATGAATTGCATGCATTAAATACGTCCTGCCAAGCAAGTCATGATCATCTGCAAATAAATATAACGTGTTGCCTGATGTACAACGTTTCAATATCCTGAATTTGTTTGAGATAATGCTACAGGTTGATGTTGACAACCAATCTACAATTTACATATAATGGGTCATTAGCCCTTTTGGTGAATGTGCGATTTGTTCAATGATAGTCTTTTGAAATCTAGAAAACAATTAATATAAAGTAATGCGGACACACTGGTTAAAGATTGTGAGTTCACAGCAACCAGGTATCATATCGGTCATTTTTGGTATTGTTAAAACCAGAGTAGCGAGCGAAAACATGACTGACAGTCTGACACTGGTTTGACTAAACTCACATGCATTCATTGCGGGGTTATATAGGGTGAAACAGTGACACTGGATACCAACTTCACTGACGTCAACCACAATGACCGCCCCTGACACACAATCTCTCACTCACATTGAAGCAGGAAGGGAGACTGTGCCATTTTGTGTGTGAGTGGGAACTTGTAAATCATAGGAAGTAAAGTGACTTGCATATCCTGTGTGTTCCTAGGAGGGTAAAGTGGTTTTTTTTTGTTTTTTTTGTTCCCCTCTACTTGCACACATTAACAAGTAAACTTCATGGATACATACAGGGTCTACTGTACAATGTTTGGGAAAAAAACGACAGCAAAGTTATCGATAATCGATATCGTTTCATGACTGCCCTGATGAAACTTCAATTAATAAATCTCGTAATAAATAACAAAATTATCGTGTACACAAAACAAAAAACCTACCACGTTTCTTGTTAACAGCCATAGTTAGTACATACAAACACAGAACATCTTCTAAAGTACATTTTAGTGGTTTTATCAAGAAAATTTTCCAGAAAAATCAGGAAAAACCATCGACATAGTAACGACGTAAAAAATTTGTTTACATTAATTTGTTAATTGACAATACGCGCGCGAAACACGCGAGAGGTACACATTATGAGCGACCTACACGCGGGAGGAACACGTAGGAGATCACGCGCGCCACGCACGCGTGAACACCACGCGCGAAAAATCACGCGAGAAAACATGGCGGCAGGAAGGCAACTAAGCAAAGGTTTGCTTAGAAAGCTTCAAAATACTGCAAAAAATATTCTTTTTTACCGATGTTTTTCAAATATCAATGAAGAAACTACCCACTTTGGATACGAGACCATCTCCAAGGAAGAAAAGTCAGAAAGAGGTGCACATTTTAAAACGTTATGCTGTCTATTTTCTAGTGTAACAAAATATTTGTTTATAGGTACAAATACAAATATGTACAAGGCCGCAGGACCAGGTTCGATTCCTGTCAGAGGACCTAGTGTTGTATTTTTCGTAACCATTCCTAGTTAGGTCTTAAAAGTGTGTATATATGCTCACTTGGATTATCCACCAAACTCGGCATTCAAGTTCAACCAAGTCAAGTGCAAAAACCAACAAGGACTGCTAAACCATGCATGCTGAATATCTTCTGTTTGGGCATCCATTGGAAAAAGACGCTTCGCAATCCAGACTATAGGAAATCTCAGCAACCTCTGCCCCTAATATTGACATGTTTCTTTGCTTCATGTAACTCTGTATTATTTCCCGTACTCATTATGAATCTTGCATTGTTTTCTTGCAGTTCATCATGTGTTTCACAATGTAGCAGATAAATATGACCTCATGAATGACCTGATGAGTGGAGGCATACATCGTGTGTGGAAAGATTATTTTATATCAAAAATACATCCTCGCTACGGAAACAAGTTACTGGATGTTGCAGGAGGAACGGGCGACATTGCGATGAGATATCTAAATTATATAAAGTATGAGAGAAGGAAAGCAATGTTGCCTGAGAATCAAATAATTGTATGTGACGTGAATCAAGCCATGCTCCATGTTGGAAAACGAAAAGCTGAACATTTAGGAATAAATCAAGGTAGTAGTTGGTAAAATAATCAAGCCAATTATTTCAGTTAATACATCCATCCAGAAAGTGGTTATAGAGCCTTGTTTCTGTGTTTGAGACTCTTGTTACTGATTAAAAATAATAAACAGGTCTTTTATATTGACTGGCTAACTGTATGGGTTCGTAAATGTCTCACCCATAACAAGATAAAGGGCTCTTAATTAACCCAATATCTCAATCGCAAAAATAAGGCTCTACAGCCATGACATACACCAGAAGGGTGTATTGGATAATTAAATGTCAATGTATAAGTGATCAATGGCTATTAACACTTTCATTTTAGAAATATCCTGGGTTTGTGGCAACGGTGAGGACTTGCCGTTTGAAGATAATTCTTTTGATGTTTATACCATTGCATTTGGAATACGAAACTTTACAAACATTGAGAAGGTTTATGTTAATTGTCATTGTCTGCAGTTGCTAATTTCTTGTTTTATTTCCTTGTTCATATATGTGCTTATTTGAAGGCTTTAGACGAGGCGTACAGAGTATTAGCTCCTGGTGGAAGGTTTATGTGTCTAGAATTCAGCGCTGTTACAAATCCCGTCTTAGAGAGGTATAAGCAGTCAGCTTCATATTTGGAGAAAGAACTCAATTCCAAAAAGTGAAGCCAAAGATAGTGGAAATTGAAGAGCTAGTGGATGTGAACCCAGTTTCTTTCTATTGTTTTTTCTGCACGGTCAGACACAGAGCTGCCATGAGTATGTGTGCTGAAATTTTGACTTAAAGATTAATATTATGATTTTGTGAAAACTTGATTAGCATTATGGTCCTTTAGAAAAAAAAAACTATATAAAAACTGTTTATGACCTTCATAGCTATTGGATGTCAATTCCACTATCTTTTTGCTTCACTTAATTGTCTCACAGGCCGAATGCTCCAGATATATATGTATATCATAACTCACTGGGTATAAGTTGCACCACATGATTTTTTGATTTTTTACAAGCAGACTAAATATTAAAAATCTTCCATATTTGTAGGTTGTATGATATGTATTCATTTCAAGTCATTCCAATAATGGGACAAATCATTGCCAAAGACTGGGATTCCTATCAATATTTAGTAGAAAGTATACGGCAATTTCCTGATCAGGTACAAATCTCTGATAATTAATATAGTGGATATTTTATTCAGACTATTGTGACTATAACGGCTGTCAATTTTATTCTCATAGGATGAATTTTCCAAAATGATAAATGATTCTGGTTTTAGAATGGTGAATTATGAAAATCTAACTTTTGGTATTGCGGCTATCCATTCAGCTTTCAAGTTATAGCTACATTTTTAGAAAGAAATGTATTTTTAAGTGTAAGAAAATAAAAGACAGTACATGCTCGTATGTATGAAGGAGGGGGTCGACTCTCTTGTGATATTATTCTTTATTGTATTAAAAGCGTAGAATGCTTACCAATATCATACAATTCAATCATGTTCAACTATAAAGATTTTGAAATATGCCTGGTTGAGTTGCATGATATTGGCAAGTGTACTGTAGAAAAGTACAGCTTTCAAAAAGCTTCCTTGACATTTTTTTGGCTGGGTGATTCTTTTGTCAGTACCAGCACTCACTGAAGAGTTGGAAAATTATTGAATGATTATCATCATATGGATTAGTAATAGTAAATATATATAGTACTTATTGACCGGATGCATAAGTATGTTAATGACAACAACTTAAGTTGCAAATTACTTCTGAAATTTATTCCACTCTGACAACACAACTTAATATAAAATTTATACATCATTGTAGTATCTATATATTATATGCAATATTAAACGTATTTTAGTTCAAATGTCTTTTTTACAAAACGAACTATGTTATCAAAGTTCACTCAACCAGACTTAAACAACAAGATGGCAACTTGTCCCAAATAGAAGTAAATGAAATGCTTCGTTTCGTGTGTCACATAGGAGCCAAAATTTCTGCCAACAATGCAATGCCATGTTGGGTTGAATTTTTTGTCAAATTCCTTCTTCACATAGGCTGCGATGTCTTTTTCGATGTTAAATTTCTCCATTGCTTGGATCGTGCAGTCGATCGCATCTTGTTGCATGTCTTCAGACATATCTGCATTCTTTACGACAGCTTTTCGTTCCGACATCTAAAAAATACAACACCATTAGCAACATCTATAAACAAAACTCACATCAATTTTGCAACAACGAGACATAATTTGTGCAAGCTATTTTGACAACGAAACGTGATATTTTGAAAATATACATTACCTCTTTTCTTATTAAACAATCAAACGTGAAATCAAAGCTATTTCCGTGATAAAACTTGCTTCAAACTAAAACGTAGCAACACAACTTCCAAATGAAATTTGCTTCGTTTTTTTCCGGATGTTGCTTTAAAAAGGACGCCACATGCAGACTGCTATTTGATTGGTTATTATACGGCGTCCTATTTCAGCGTCCTATCTCAACCCAGCAGGCTTTGCGCCGTCTCCCAGAAAATTACATCTATGAAAATTTGAATAGAAAAAATTTGGGAAACAAATTAGCTTCAAATTATTAACTGATCTGGAGAACTTCATCTTTCCTCTATAATATCGTACTTACTTTGTCAAATAATGGCTTATTTTATTCAACTATATCTCTCTAATTCTCTCTCTATCTTTATATTATTTCATTTATTTGCAATAAAATGAAACGAAAATAGTTTTTGAAGTCCATTGTGGAAACACTGGCGTCGTCATCCATGCCATATATGGGAAGGAACTCCATATTTGGGCTGCTTGTCTTCAAGAGGACTCGATCTTGAACGTGGAGGACGCCATTTTGTGTATTCTCAATTTTGAAAAGCGCAATTCCAACTAAAATGGATCGAGGAAATGCCGATTGTCGCGTTTATGTGGGAAACCTTCCAACGGACGTTAAAACAAAAGAACTGGACGACTTATTTTATAAATATGGCACAATTAAAGACATTTCTTTGAAGAAGGACACACGTGGCGGGCAACCATTTGCTTTTATTGAGTTTGAGGATCCAAGGTATTTTTTAGTTATTGTCTAGATATTTCTCTCTGAAAACGCATTAAAATGTCTCTTTATTTAAAATAAAACTTTCAAAATACTGTAAAATCAAGATATCATCAATAATCCAGTTCTTGAATTTGTACTGATAAATTTTTTGTTTTAAATGTTATTTTTTATATACAGAGATGCCCAGGATGCAATTCGGGGTCGTGATGGTTATGATCTTGATGGTAACCAGTTGAGAGTTGAGTTACCCCGCTCTGCTGGGGGTGGTGGTGGTGGTTTCCGAGGAGGGCGAGGCCAGGGTCGTTTTGGTGGTGGTGGTGGTCGAGGTCGTGGTGGCAGGCCATTCATTCCTCGTGGTAATGGCTTCCGTGTCCTGGTGAAGAACCTCCCTCCTACTGGCAGCTGGCAAGATTTGAAAGATCACATGAGAGAAGCTGGTGATGTGATGTTTACTGATGTGTTTAATGACTGTACTGGGGTTGTCGAGTTCGCACGACATGAAGATATGAAGAGAGCTGTCAGAATATTGAATGATACCAAGTTCAGGTCACACCAGGTTGGCATGTCTATATGAAACCGCTTTCAGCGAGCTCAAGCAGCGTTCTTGTCAACACATGTGTGATTGCTAAGGGGGGCAGGACTAAAAACTGGGTTTGTGTTAGTTTGTGGTAATCTTCAACACATAGGACAAAATCCAAGATTTCTGAAGTTTTTTACTTCCTTACATGAGCACTATGGTGCAAAATGCCGCCAAAATTAGATATACCAACTTTTAGGCAACGTCTATGTTGACAAAAAACGTTGCTTGCTTAAGCTTACTAGTGATAAGCACATTTTCTATTCTCATGAGAAACTTTCATAAGCAGTCTTGTATGCATTCTAAACATTGAAGTTTTGCATTAGAGTAGACAATGCTTTTATCTGTGTCAACCGTAGTAATAGTACATAATAATTTGATTTGTCATGTTTCAAATTTATTTACATCTAGCTGATTTTTCCATCGTTCGTTTCAGAATGAAACCTCGTATGTGACTGTGGAAGAAGATGAGTCCGCCAGACCAGGCAGATACAGTAGATCAAGAAGTCCAAGACGATCGAGAAGTCGATCATTTTCACCAAGAAGATACTCGAGATCACCAAAACGATCTTACTCGAGAAGCCGCTCTCGTTCCAGATCATAAGACGTTCTACATTTTTTCAACAAGGAAACAAAGATCTTCTGCACATTTTGTGATATTAAAAATATAACTTCAAGATAATTCAGGACCTTTTTTACACGAAAGATGGTAAAATTTTGATTCCAAATGCCCACCTTTTTGTTGTGCTGCAGTGCAACAAATTCTCTTCAATACAAGTAGTGTTAGGCTTAAATAATAAAGAGATAATGTATTAAATAAGACTCCTGCAGTGAAATTGTTGAGTAAAATAGAAATGTACAACCCATACAATAAACATTTAATATTTTATATATTTGTAGATGATTATATGCTCCTTGTGTATGGACGTGGAGTGGAGCGGTCATGCATAGGATGGATAGGATTATGGAAGGATAGGATTACTTTTTAGCTTGGTATGAAAACTTCACATTTCTGCCAAAAAAATGAATATTATATGCATTTAACTCGCAAAATTTTAATTCCCATGACTTCACAAGTATTTTGATGTTTTATTAAAAATACAAAATTTTGTCCTGACTTTTGATATTAATATTACTTCTAACTTGTGTTGTACAGATTTCTCTTTATTGTGGAGGAAATATTTGGAGGATAGAGTGGAAAAGGAGGGATAATTTTCGACTTTTGGTGGATAAGGAGTGATTATTTTCGATAAGGGATGATTTTGAACATTTGGAGGATAATAGGGGATAATTTCGGATATTAGAAGGATAAGGAGAAATAGTTTTGGACACCACAGGATAAGAAGGGATAATGTGGGACAATTGCAGGATAGGAAGGTATAATTGCGGACGCATGCGGGATAAGAAGGGCTAATGCTGGATACATGAAGGATAAAATTGGACACTTGGAGGTTGGAAAGTGCTGGATATGAGAGGACCGTGTGGGACAATTGCAGGATAGGAAGGTATAATTGCGGACGCATGCGGGATAAGAAGGGCTAATACTGGATACATGAAGGATACAAAGGGATAAAATTGGACACTTGGAGGTTGGAAAGTGATAGTGCTGGATATGAAAGGACAGGATAAATTTGGAGGTAATATAGGTGAATCAGGATAGTTGAGGATAATTTTGCATTGAAGGAAAAACTGGGTAAAATAGGGATAAATGCGGTAACAGATTTTTGGAAAACCATGTTGACAAGGGACAATTGACCATTTGCGTAATAGACTAAATTTTGAATTAAACAAGTCTGGACAAAAATTTCATCACAGCTTGAAGGAGCATCACAAAATTAGTAATATTCCAAAGTTTCGTTGCAAAATGTTGTAAAATGCGGAAAATATAGCCTTGCGAAATTTGCAATTTTCAGTCATTTTAGATTACAAACGGCAAATTGACAGCCCCAAACCCTTCGAGGCTGTCAATTTCCGGTTTGTAATCTAAAATGACTGAAAATTGCAAATTTCGCAAGGCTATATTTTCTGCATTTTACATCATTTTGCAACGAAACTTTGGAATATTACTAATTTTGTGATGCTCTTTCAAGCTGTAATGAAATTTTTGTTGAGATCAAAATTTAGTCTATTACGCAAATGGTCAATTGTTTAGAAGTGTACAAAGTTTATTCTTTGGGGCTATTTTCTGTACATATTAGACTTTGCAAGAGACAAGCTAGCATGAAATCCCCCAGAAAAGATAATAAAATTATTTTTCTGTCTTCTGATGTAGAAGTATTACCAAAAACACGAAGAATTCCTTTACATGTAATACACCTAGACATCAAAACTTTGATGGAACTTAATATATATGCTTAATTATCTGTACAATAGAAAAAGTTCAAACTATTAAAGCTGAGTGTATATTGTCTGCTACACATGCAGTTTGTAATTGAGATGTGACGTTGTTTAATCTCTTGGCGATGCTGATCGTGATCTTGAATGACTTTTAGCTGGTGACTTGGAACGACTTCTTGAGTGGTCATGTGACTTGCTTTTAGACCTGCTTCGTGAACGTCTGTCTTTAGAACGACTTCGAGATCGTTTACCAGATCTGCTTCGTGAACGACTACGTGATCGAGAGTAACTTCGCTTCCTGCCTCCTCCACCACTCCCAGAGTCATCTGTCACAGTCACTTTGCTGGTTTCACCCTAAATAAATCAACATATTTTAATGCCTATGCATTCACAAGTTCACATAAATATAGGGATGGCAAGCAATATGAAAACCATTTAGTTCATGGATTTGAAAATCTTTCCTCAAATACAACATGTATTTCAAAGCATCTTTGTTTTTTGCAAATTCCAGTTTTTGATAAACACCATATCACTTTATACCAACAAGTGGGCTGAAAATACGAGGTTTTAGTTCCTAGATAAACCATCTACATAAGATTTATGTTGGGTTTTACTACATACCAGCACCATAAAGCTAGATTGTTTGAACTTGACATCAATGAATTTACACTGAGGTAATACCTCGGGCTACTTTTCAAGGAAATTGATCACTCAGGAATATTTTGGTTAAAAACCTGATGACCAGAATGTGTCATGAATCCTCTCAATGACCAAGACAAGATTGAAATGAATCCTGAGAATGATTCCTCATGGACGAGAATTGAGTCCTGACTTTTGAAATGATCCGTGATATTGAAAATCATTGATATTGACCATGGCACATTGGAAATAATTCCTCACTGAGATGGGGATTTGAATCCTGAAATGATTCCTCATTGACATGGAAATATTTCCTCATTGATATTGAATCCTCAGTGTTGAGAATGAAGATCAAATTTGCTGATATGATTAATTAGTGTGTTGATGCAATTTATATACTGAAATGGTAAAAATTTAAATATGGTTAAGTAAAAAACTAATTAGGACAAAATATATAACTATACATAGTTTTGAATAACAAGGGCAAACACATTCCATACATACCTCGTGTGAACGGAATTCAGTATCATCTAAATTCTTAATGGCGTATTTGACATCATCAGAGTGAGCAAACTCCACAATGCCAGAACCATCACCATAGACTTCAGCATAGAGTACTTCACCCGCTTCCCGCATGTGGTCTTTGATATCTTGCCAACTACCAGTGGACGGTAGCCCTTTCACTAACACTCTGTTGTTTGAACGTCGTGGGGGGACGCCTCTCCCAGATCTACCACCACCATAACCTCCGCTGTTACCACGACTACGACCACCATCACGGCGGTTGTTTTGACTGCCTCGTGTGAACTCTACTCTGACGCGTCGACCATCAAACTCATAACCATCACGACCTCTCACAGCATCTTCTGCATCTCTACAAGTTGTAAAAATTGGTTGCACATAACTGTCCATGTGCACAACTTAACAGTACACACAGGAAAAACTTCCATTGATAGGTTTTTAAAGATTTACCATGTATATTATCAATGTAAAAACTGAACTTTTTATACTCTTATTAATGGTATTTTCCTGTGCAGAGGAAAAAAATAAAGTACCATTAATGACATGATTTTTACCATGTGGGAAATCTATAATAACTAGAAATGGTATTAAAGAGTTCAGTTTTTACATTGAAATAATTTTTTCCTGTCATGCTCATCAAATATTCAACAGTTACGTCACTAACACCGCGTGGCAATTTAGTATAAGAAACGAAAAACCCCAATTTTATCGAATTTTCTTGCGAAAACTGGCGTATTTTAACGTACCCAGAAGCATTGCAATAACCTAAAGCATATTTTGAAGTTACCTCGAGTCTTCAAACTGTACAAAAGCGTAGGAAAGATTCTCTCCTCGTCGACTAGATCTCGCACGAGAAGCGTCGCCACGTTTGATTCGTATATCAGCAATTCTGCCATATTTATAAAATATATCGTCCACATCTCTTTCTCTACAGTCTTCGGGGAGGTTTCCAACATAGATTCTGCAATCATTGTTGTTGCCTCTGAACATACTGTCGCGTTCTCTAGACATCTTTATATCAAGATCTTTATAGAAAATACTGTATTTCTGCTCGACCTTCGCTTCGGATTTGGAAAAAAAAAGGACGCCAAACGACCTCACCCAGCTTGCTTTGCGCGCTTGGTCTCCACTTGGGAGAGAGAAATTTCACTTGTGTCTCCATTTGGGCACAGGAAAATTTCACTTTCATCCGTAATGCAGCATTGGTAGGCTATAAATGAAACCAGGTTGACATGGTACACTGGAATAAGCAGAAACTTGACGTTTCAAGCACAGAATAGGAAGTTATACCAGAAGCGTAACTCTAGTCGTTTCCCTTATTGTTTGACGTCCACGAAAATTTTAACTCGCTCACGTCAGGCCACGCCATCCTGGCTAGTACAGCCGGAAGTTTTATCAGGATTTGGTAGGTACAAAGTGCCGGTTGTACTAGCCAGGATGGCGTGATTGATGACGAATCGCTTGTAAAAACGCGGACAAATATTTGCTCGAGTTACGCTTCTGGTATAACTTCCTATTCTGTGTTTCAAGCGTGCTTAAAACGTCGAGTTTCTGCTTATTTTTTAAGGTAGTAATATACAGACAGTTTCTGGAAAGTAGGTCACGTTGGCTATAGAGCCTCGTTTTAATGATTGAGACATTTCTAGGAAGACGAGTCTCTGTAGCCAAAGTGATGTACACAATGGAAGGGTGGATTATTTTGAAATGTTATGATCAGGAACATTTTTTGTGATATGGTTGAGGTGGGTGGCTCATATCAACAGCCATTTGTTAATCCTGTAGAATACTGAGAATAGTCGCTGTCATATTTTTAAAATATCCTCATTTTATTATATACATAATGCTTATCTACAATCTTTAAGTTTCTCTGTCCTGCAAATGTCTTTTAGCATTTTGTAAAAATACTTGATATGTTGACTTGGTGTTGTCTTGTATAAATTTTGAAAAAAAGTTAGGTGTAACAATTTCAAAATATTGTGTAACTACAGTCCCAGGTAGCCCATTCTGAGAGCCCTCCCTGAATACAATGTTCACAGTTCCATGTATCAGTCCTTCAAAGAAGTTCAGTTGCAGTTGTATTTTTGGAACATTTGGGAAAAGTTTAGCAATACATGGTGACTCCAAAATCTGTTCATATAAACCTTGGATTGAAAATCTTTCAAGACGGTTGAATTTTATTTTATCCGGCTCCCCTCCTTCGCCAGGAATATACACAACACCAGAAACACTAGAACAAATAAGAGTAAGGAGTTATGCATCACTTCCCCATATAGAACAAGGGTGATTAATGCATGCCTGCAAAGCAAGGGTGTCAATACTGGGGGTGGGGGAGGTGCATTCCCCACACTTTTTGGACATTCGTTATATACTCTGCAATAAATTATGTCCATTGGTCGACTTTGTCCCCCATTTTTTGGAATGGATTATTGCAGAGTTGGGCAGTTAGATCTCGATGGTGAAAACCTTTCAAAACTGTCAATCTGCAACCGTCAAGGTCATTGGATGAGTAATTGCATCTTTTGGGGTTGTTCATATGAGCCGGGACAGCCAGCCGGGATGAATTGTGTCAAAAAAATGTTTCTGGACCTTTTCTTGATCATTCGAATGAACTTTATCCTGTCACTTGAATCAAACTAATTCAACTTTGAAATGATATTTTGGATGGTTCTCAAAGCCGTGATAGCTAAGCTTTATTACAGGGCCAACCCGGCTTCATATGAACAACCCCTTAGAGTCTCATAGAGTTAGTTGTTGCAGTAAATAATCAAATATCTTACGTGTCACCATTTTGAATGCTTTTCATACTGTTCTGAACATCTTTAAAATATTCATACACAACCAGCTTTGAACTGCCAGGAATAAATATAGTCTGATCAAAACTCACAACCTGGGTGGATAACTGTTTATGTGAGAAGAAAGCTATGATTCCTACAAAACTTGCCCATAAGAATATTTTTAAAATCATGCCTGTTATGCAGGGTACTATTACTTTTAGTCAGAATTCTTGAGATAAACAAATATTACTTTCTTGGGAAACCATGTTGTTTTTGTCGAGAATTTCCGATCCTAACACGAAGTTAGTAAATTAATTTTGATAGATTAATTTTTGATGATCAAATCAGCTACAATCTTCGTCAAGGGACTAATAACTATTGAATACTCACTCTAATTTGCAATTTTATTGTATATTTTTTACAAAAGACAAATTTTTAACACATTTTCGCTGTTTTTTGCTGGGTTTGTGTGGTTACGAAGTTACTCCGACAAGGCTCCGGAAATTTCCGTTTTTTCGAGGGAAAGAGAACAATAACAATTCATACCGAAAGGAGAAAAATAATGAAATCAACTCAAAAACTTCAAAACTAAATATCAAATCCGCTGCAAAATACTTTAAACTTTGAAAAATATCAACAATTGACAGAAATAAAGAATTTAACTCTGCTGCTACGAGCTGGAAACGTATATAAACTACTCTGTATGAAAGATCATTGCATATATAAACAAATTTGTATTATTAAAACGGGGAGTCTGATCTTTTGTGATTTCTTTGAGTTTTTTTTCACGCAATCATTGCGTATCTTTGGCGTGAAATGGAGGAATCCTCAGCATATAAATGGTGAGTAATATCATGTGTAGAAATATAGTGTGAGTTCTGATGTAAAACATGAATGTTTAGTTTTTGAAAATCTTTAGACATGATAATTCTCTTTCATTTACAAAGGTTGTTGATGACCCTGGACAGTTCCCGTGTGGCAACACTAGTTGTATCAGTCGTGCTAATTATCTATGGTAGTTTTAGGTGTGTATAAAACATAGCTAGGGGGTTGTAGGTGTCCAGGTAGCTCAGTAAGGACGTAACCTTGACCTATGGTAGTTTTAGGTGTGTTAGTGTGTATAAATCATAGCTAGGGGTTTGTAGGTGGGATTACCTCAGTGAGTATGTAACCTTGATCTATGGTAGTTTTAGGTGTGTATAAATCATAGCTAGGGGGTTGTAGATGTCCAGGGTAGCTCAGTAAGGACGTAACCTTGACCTATGGTAGTTTTAGGTGTGTTAGTGTGTATAAATCATAGCTAGGGGTTTGTAGGTGGGATTACCTCAGTGAGTATGTAACCTTGATCTATGGTAGTTTTAGGTGTGTATAAATCATAGCTAGGGGGTTGTAGATGTCCAGGGTAGCTCAGTAAGGACGTAACCTTGACCTATGGTAGTTTTAGGTGTGTTAGTGTGTATAAATCATAGCTAGGGGTTTGTAGGTGGGATTACCTCAGTGAGTATGTAACCTTGATCTATGGTAGTTTTAGGTGTGTATAAATCATAGCTAGGGGGTTGTAGATGTCCAGGGTAGCTCAGTAAGGACGTAACCTTGACCTATGGTAGTTTTAGGTGTGTTAGTGTGTATAAATCATAGCTAGGGGTTTGTAGGTGGGATTACCTCAGTGAGTATGTAACCTTGATCTATGGTAGTTTTAGGTGTGTATAAATCATAGCTAGGGGGTTGTAGATGTCCAGGGTAGCTCAGTAAGGACGTAACCTTGACCTATGGTAGTTTTAGGTGTGTTAGTGTGTATAAATCATAGCTAGGGGTTTGTAGGTGGGATTACCTCAGT